TTTGCCTAACAAGTGAACAAAGAAAAACAAAACAAAAATGCCTATATTATGGTTTATACAGATAAAGCTTCATTTCTATTTTCCACTACTATTATTATCACAAAGCTAAATTAACGAGATTTTCCTGTCAGAAATGGATATGAATATTATGTTGCCTTCATACAGATAACACTAACATTTTACTTCCATGTTCACCAAAACTTTTGAATAAGCAAAATCTGCAAGGGTATCTATGTTCAAGACCAGCTGGCGCACATTCATTTCCTTAATTCACATTTTAAAACAATTTACAATAGACAATTTACCCTAAAGGGTAATGCTTTCTGCTATTACAAATCAAAAAAGTTCCAAAGAAAAAGTTAATGGAGCGAGAGCTTCTCTTCTTCATTTAGATTTTAAAAATACAATTTAAGAGAGGGCCAGAAAGGTAATGTGGTGTCCCTGGAGGTAAGGGTGAAAATCAATGGCCATGCCTGTAGAAGTCTACAACTGACAAAGACTTCTGAGTGTGTTCAATTTCACACTGAAGCAACCACATAGAGAGGTAAAATGAAAAAAGAGCCACAAGAAGAATCTAAGTTTCTAAATTTCCAATTGTTTCCACTTTCCACCAGGCTGTCCTAGGACACTCTGGTCCCATGGGTAGGAAGGAAGGAGGGCAATGAGAACCCACTAGGTTCAGTGGCCATCCCAGAAACAGGCACTCTTTTACGGAGATTCTTCTATGATAGAACGATGGGGATCTTTTAGGACAGAATGGAATTAAAGAGATGAATCTTTCAATTAAAATCACTACTACATGACTGCATATATTTAATGCTGATTTGAATTTCATTGTCGGAGAAAATGCAATGGCCATCAAGTTTATGAAGCTTTTTCTAAAAAGGAAGATTTAAGAACATTTTTTGGATTTAAAAGACAGCACATGCATGGGTAAGGGAAGCATTTAAAATAATAGGTATTACTAGAAATCTTACTGCTGATACACAAGATATGTGTAATGGTCATTAAAATACATTTTTAATTCAGTATAATCTTTTCTTCACCCATTTGCTCTATTTATCAAATAAACATATCATAAGAAACAAATATATAGATTATTGGACCAAACACATTTGCAGGAGTAAGACACAGAAATAAGTGAGTATGTTCAGTGCACTTATGTATAATATAAAGAGGGGAGGGGAGGGAAGGGGAGGGAAGGGAAAAGGGCTAAGAAGAAGAAAGATATCAAGGAGAAGCAAGTGATTTTGATGTGGAATGGGATGGAGAAGGCAGTGAGGGAATTAAAGGACATTTGCGTGGGTACCATGTGTAAGTGAATGTTGGGGAAAAGCTTAAGTGTGTAATCAGGTAAAGGTGGAAGACATCCAGAGTTTACTTGGATGATGAAAGGATGAAGGAATCAAAGGTAGGCTAGGGTCAGACTATGGAAGACCCTGAATGTTGGATTTCAGGATTTGAGCTTGCTCAGGTAGGTGATAAAGACCACAGATGATTTCTGAGCAAGGAATGATAAAATTTAGGAGGCATGTGCAGGAGAGAGGAGGAACTGAAGACAGCAATAGTGATGAGGAAGTAGTTGCAGAAGTCTAGTTAATGAACTATTTCTAGAACTAGGATCATGGCAGGGGGAATGGAAAGAAAGACAGGGATAGTTGTGTGACCTTTAAGTATGTCTGACTGACAGAGAAGGGGAACGCTCTCCCTAGATTACTTAGAACCACTCTTAACCTGCTAAGTGTTGCCTGTTGTCATAAGGGAACACTGAGTAGTGAAGGAGGTATAATTTAGCTCTCAAAGTGGCTAGGGAAGGGGGTCTTTAGGCCTTGCAGAACTCTCTATCCACCTTAAAAGCATGCCTTTCCATCAGAAGAGGAAAAACAGTGACAACTGTGTCCTACCCTATCCTCACTGGAACTACCTACTGTGAAAGCTGCTTACACAAGAGGAGAAAAAAGGTCAAATTAGAAAGTTATCACTCACAACATTTCATACTGCATTCATGTGGAACAGTTTATGCTTTGCCAAGCCCTTTCCTACTTATTTTCTCACTTTTCCTAAAGCAGCCCTTGAGGTATTAAGGATGAGAACTATGGGCCAGCTTTTGAGAAGAGAGATTTGATACCTGAACAGGAGTTCCCAGGACCAGCATTTCCTGGCTCACCTGATGAGACGCCTAGCACACACCTTGCGATCCTCTTGCTATTGTGCTCAGTTAAAGGCAAGTGGTCTGCACTTTATAGAGCTTAAAACAGACACTAGTTGGATAAGATAGGGATGCTTCAGAAAATCAGCCAAGGAGTGGATAAAGGCTGCCCAGAAAATGTCCTCCACCACACAAAACAAAATCCAGAGCCCAGCTGGGAATTCCATTGCTGCTTTGGGTTTGGGGACTGTTTATTTTTATTTCTTGGCTCAAACCTTTCATTCCTGTCCTTGTCTCTTACCTCCCCTCCCTTTCCCTCTTCCCCCCACCCTCTGTCCTGGCAGCCCCAGCCCTATTCCCCATATGTACCACCCAGCATTTAACACCACTATCTAAAAAAATCTCTCTCAGTAGAAGCTTAGTCTCCTGCAGGTGGCACACTGTAAAACTGATACCAAAGGAACAGATATCGTGGCCAGCCTTTGATTCATTTAGTCTGTATGTTAAAGACCCAGAAAGAAAATAACCACAATTCACAGGGCAAAAAAACCAAACTAATACAAAGTAAGAGATTCTTTCAAGTGGCATGCGCAAGCCCGGTTTTTGTGGTGGGCTTATGTATTCAGACATAATTGTCTACACGTTTGGTTACCCTGCTTCAGAAATGACTTCCAACCCACCCGATGACGTCAGAAGGGTCAGTTCAGAGCCTCCAGAGTCTGAGTGCTGCTCTCTCCTGTGAGGCTCAGTTAGGAAAGAAAGATGACAAAGAGCAGAAGCGTCAGACCCATTTCCTTTTGGACTTTCTTCAGTTATTTTCCCTATGCCTGTATTCTAGTGCTCACTTGCTTGCGTTTTACTTATGTATTCACACAACAAAGCTTCCTCTGGAAAAGTCTGCTTTATATTCCAAAAGACTTAGGAAATGAATAAATGCACATGTGCTTAATGCCACACCCCAGAACGACTGCAGTCCTCTGGTATCCATTTTAAGAATATACTTCTGCACCAAGGTATCTTGTGTTCTTCTAAGCAGGCGTCCTGGCAAGCCAGCTGTTGATGTGGTAATAACAATTAGCACTGTCAGCGTAAGCACAAGATGGGAAGAATTCCCTTGTTCTGTAAATCCTTTGTAGAAGGTGACAAGATTGCCAAAGTATGTTTAATAGGGCTGACTCTATGATGTACCTTTCCTTCTCATTGAAGGACTTGACAAATACTATAGAAACTCAGAAGCAATTCTGCCTGAAGAAAGTAGGATATAAAGAATTCCTTCCATGGCTTTCACCTTTCTCTCTCGGAGAGCAACCGCCTTGTTGGGGTCCATGGTGAACCCTGTCTCTGGAAAACCAAGGATATTTATAAGCGGCCTTAAAAGTCATCAAGACAATTGCACCCTGGTGACTGACTCCTTTCTACAACGTCCTCACCAAGTCATTAGCCAAACCGTGTTTGAACTGTCTAACGATGGAGAGTTCTTGACTTAGGGCAGCTAGTTCCCTTTCTGGAGAGAAGAACTCTGTAAGAATGGTCCATCAAAAGTTAAAGTGACATCCTTTCTGCTCTGTGATCAGGTCCTACCTCGTGTTTAGATCATTGCTGATGAATCTATTCCCTCTGTCAGATGGCAGCTTGTCTAAAACTATTATGTACCACCTATATCTTCTCATTTAGTAGTTCTAAAATTTTTCAACCAACCATTCCTCATCTGATGAAATAGTTGGTGCTCTCTTGACTCCTTCCAGACTAGCCATGATCAGGCATGATTTGAGTGATGCAGAGTTGAAAGGGTCATCCCTTCCTTCATGTGGACATTATACCTCAATTAGTACAAGCCATGGGTACATTAATAAATCATCCCTACCTTGCCTTCTTTCTATCCCTAATTTACTTTGCTCATAATATTTACAAAAACAATAAAGATGATCTTTATCAACCAACCACAGCTTTCTTTGTTAGTTTTGAGCCAACAGCTCTCCTGGAGCCTCTTGTGACCTTTACACACACAGGAAATCACTCCTGATCTAAAGAACAGCCTCCTTTTCCAGGCTGCCCTCTTGTCCCAGCTTGCTGTCACCACTGCTGAGATAGCAGACGATTGATCTGAGAAATCAAGTTGGATTGCTGTCCCAAATCTACACTCGGGTCTCCTTGTGTCTGTCTGATCGATTTCACTCTGTGCGACATAGCTTGTCGCTATGAATTTTCATGCTAGTCAGGAGCCGCCAGCGCACCCAAGAACAAGTGGGAGATGGTCTGCAGCCCTCCCCATCCCTTCCACATACCCAGCTTCTGTGTCAAAAGTTTTTTCAAATCATCTATTGCCAGATTGGCAAAAAGGTTTGTTTGCTCATTTCCTTTCTCTTCCTTTCCTTTCCTTTCCTTTCCTCTTCCTTCCTTCCTTCCTTCCTTCCTTCCTTCCTTCCTTCCTTCCTTCCTTCCTTCTTTTCCTTTCTTTCTGCAACAGGCCTGGATGTGATGGATTTGGCCAATGGTTTTCCTCCCCAGCTTCCTCAGCCCCAACTTGTGGTGACATTTCCTACCACTGTTGTACTAGGTGTCACCTGTTTGGCAGCTTCTCTCAGCTGAGTGTATGTGGCCGCAGGTGCCATGTGAACACTGATGGGGTCTGACAGCCCTAGACGCCAGCTGCCTGCATGAAGCCTGCCCAATTGCCACTTTCTCTGTGAGTAAGATGCTGCCCATGGAATGACCGATACAGAAACAAGAAACTAGGTGACCGGAAAGCTGAGACAAGTCCTACTAAGTGGCATTCCGGGCCCTATGGTTTTGAAATAATTGGGAGTGATAGAATAAAAACAAGAGGGTGGGGGGAGTCTTGTTTTCTTACACTGATGCCCTGCGGACTGTACATCTGACTGGCTGCAAGTCCGTCACTGTATCCTCCTGTCTGGCTGATAACATGGCGAAGGGTATCCACCTAAACAGAGAACAACAACAGAGAAGAAATTAGGTCAACAGATGTCAAGGAAGGGAGGCACATCACTGTCTTACAGACTACCATTGGGCATGCCAGATTAATGTGATCATTCGGAGACATTCTTCTTGAGGAAGAAGTGTCCACTAGGAGGTGGTGGGGGCTCTTGCTAATACCAAATCCATCATCAGTTCTGAGTTTAGCAAGAAGTAAAGTGGTAAAGGCAAACTGGGGTTCCCAACCTTGAAACTAATTCCACAGTGCTGAATGAGATGGGAGGAGGGCAGAGGAAAGAGGATGAAGAAATTTCTCCCTCGCTCTTATTTTTCTTCCCTACAGATCATCCCATATAGCTTCTCCTTTGCAGAGTATCTGATAAAAATTAATTTTCTGTTGAAAGGAGGCATGGGCAGCCATCTCATAGAGAGCAAAAATGTGAGTAAGACTCTGATGTGTTAAGGACTTCAAAGATGGCCAATTGTTTGGTCACTCGACCCGTGTTTGACGGTATCACTTCAGATCTGTCTCCAGGTAGTTTTTCTTGAGTAAGGGGCTCAATCATTGGCCTGTTGGTCTACCCCAAGCACATAGTTCTTTCTGTCCCCCAGGCAGGGTGTGAAAGTGGACTGACATGACTCAGAACTTCCCTATAACTCTGACCCAGCATACAACTTTATGCTCTCACATCACACTTCACCTCAGGATGCCTTCCTGAGGTGTCCTAGAGGCAGCCAGTTTACAAAGGAGCGTTGAACTTTCATACCTGACTTGATTTTTGCTTTCCAACATGGACTCCCCCAGAAACTCAAGTCCACTGACCTCAGGGATAAGTGAGAAGATGACTTTAGTTAACTTGGTTTTTGAAGCTTAAAATGAAAACATAGGATGCTAACATTTTTGCCTACTCATTAATTATTTCCTTATTTTGGCAAATATTGATATGGAAAAATCAACCAATGAGAAGGAAACCTGAAAATGGAGACAGCGGACTGAACTCCTCCTCCCTTTCCCTTCAGCGAAGAAAGAATTTGCTGGTCCACTTGCCTGATACGCCGTGGTCACCTCGCCCTGAACTTGTTGGCCCTCTCTTGCCTTCCTAGTGTGAGTGACAAGCCAGAGCCAAATGCATTCCCAAAGGGCGGACAAGAGTCCCTAAAACAATGGTTGTCTTTGTTTTGGTTTGGCTGAGTTTGGTTTCCCTCTTTCTTGCTCCTTCCCTCTCTCTGGGTCAGAGCAGGGAGCCAACAGGACTGGGGGCGCTTGGACTCTTCTGCGTCCACTCGGCAGCACATTGGCTGGGTCCCTACCTGTGACTGCACGTTCGCTCCAACCTGGGCCCCTTGGTAAGAATCCCCATTGAGTGACTGCACGCTCATGAACAAATCTCCAGAGTTTGACATGTTAAAAGAACTGGAAGAACCTGGAAAGGAAAGAGTGAGGCACCTGAATCACAGAAAGGAAAAGGCTCAACCCCCGCAACTAACAGCCAAGAGGAAGAATGACATGCAAAGCAACCCCCAAATAAAAGCTAAAATAACAATAACATCAACAGAGTCTGGTTAGTAGCATGAAGAACAGAGCAAGCAATAAAGGGTGCATACTGTTGGTGTTATATGAAGCCACACCTTACTTTAAGTTGTTGATAGGGACTGCTTCCGCTTAGCAACTTCAAGTTGAGAAAGGGAACATTTATTCTTCTCAACTTAAGTTTATTGTAGATCTCTCTTTCATGCCTCTAAAATACTAGGATTGGCCAGGGGGTTATAAAACGGAGGATATGGACTTATCAACAGTTCTTCTGCCACCACAGTGGAGCACATTAGCTACTCAACAGGATTCTAAATATGCTATTGTGAAACCCATCTACTCACATGGGGAACAGCACTGGGAGGAGAGGACATAGAAGCAATGTCACACACTAGGGCTGGCCCTGGAGTATACTGACATTCATGATTTCTGCAAAGAATCTCAAGTTCCTTGCTGGGTGGCAAGAGGCCAGGGAGCCTTGAGAATTGTAAGAATACATGAGAATGATCTACTCTTCTCCGCCACCTGTCAGTGTGGAGAAGGACAAAACTGAAAAATGGGACGGGAATTCTCAAGCATGCATGAAGTATGAAATGCTGCGGACAATGATAATGATTTCTAAAGTGGGCCTCAAGAAAGGCAGTGAGCCATTTTCACATCCCAGAGATGGAGGCTTCGTCCACAGAGTCAGCCCTTGAGGTCCATCCTGGCTCTACCCAGGCTCCACTGGCTCCGCTGTGGTAAACCTGGTCCAATCTCAACCTAAACTCAAGGGCTGACAAAAGCTTAATATTATTCTAAAGGCATCGTGCAGCTCAGCGCATTAGGAAAGAAAGCTCAACGTGCAAGGTTTAGTTAAAACATGACGTTAGCCTGGAAAGGAAGAGACCTCAGGGACCCAGGTCAGCTGCATTTTTTATTTCAAACCCTACATCGCTTAAATGGCGCTCTTGCCCTGGTATTTATTCGGAGACAGCCGTCACTGGTGTGGAATCGCCCAACCATGAGTCATGCCTCAGCTCTGACACTTGTCTTGCTTTCCTCCAAGGTAAGGATCTGAGTTCTCTTAGAGAGCTGCCTGCCTCCCATGGAGAGCTGCCGCTAACCAGGGAGAGGGCTTCCCCAAAAAGGACCACTTAACAAGTGACGCATTCTATACTCTGCCCCTGTGCTTATCTGCGACACACATCATCATGCTTCAAAGGCAAGAGCCAGACAGAGACACCAGATGACTTATAAGTGCTGGGACGACCCCAAGTTAAAAATATCTCCCATTTTCTTTTTTTTTTTTCCTGTGGAATTTTCACCTACATGCAAGGCACTCGCTAACAACTTTACTATATAAACTGATCATCTATCTAGCTCTCATCTCATTCCACTTTCCCAGAGGAAAGGAAATGCTTTCTTCAGGGGGGCTGGGGGATAACACAAGTATCCACCAAAAAACTGACATTTCCATAGCTCTGCAGTATATCTTGTCTCATCGGGCATACATTTTTTTCTCACTAGTTTATCTGAAAGGAGTTAGAAGAGGTGAATCTTAACAAAGTTGGCGTAAGAACTGACTAGGTTTGGCTCATATTCAGTGAGTGGGATGAAGGCTTCGGCCCGTAACTTTCTTCCATTAATATGGTCCATAGCCTTGAAGCTATCCCCACAACGTATGGATGAAGCACGGGGTAGCACAGGTCCCACGCTCATGTTAATGTAATACCCAGGGTTCTAAATACTGGCTACAGCTCCTTCAAAATCTGTTTTGTAACCACAGAGATAAAGCCCAAATAATAAAAGCAACTGCAATAAGGGTCACAATACATGCTTGTACTTAGATGTCATCAGAAACAAGAACCCCAATTAGAATTGTTTTTATGTCATCAGACTTCTTCCTCTCCATTCCTAACAGTGCTGAGTGTGAAGCCCAGGTGTCTTATTTCTCTCCTGCACAAATGCCATGTAATAAACACATGCATTGTATGCTTGGCTGATGGTTTATTGGACATCAACACACAAACTGAGAGATGGGAGAAACCCCAAAGGGCCACACGATGCCAAGTACCATGGCATCCATGGAACCATGAAGGCATGGAAGGTGCCACTTACAAGATGTACGCTGCAATTGACACAGATGATTTAAAAATATATGTGCATAGATAAATTGTAAGTATGTCTGGCTGCCTAATGTACACAGAGATAAATATGCGCATATAAATGTACTTCATGTACAAATGCATTTATATCAGAGAAGTAATTGCAGAAATAGTCCCCTGTGCTCCTAGCTGTGCTGTTTCAGCATTTCACTGTCTCTGTACACCTATGTATGACACTGCCAGGCTTCTGACTCTCTCATAAGTATCTAGAGGCAGTACTTGCGGTGAAGGAAGACAGCAGATGCCCCTATACCACAGCAAAGCCGAGAGAAAACCACACAAAAATCTAAACAGGGAGGGCCAGCCATATACTCCATCCAGCACTGGAAGTTTGGAAGTTGGAAAGAACTTATCATGGAGCAGATAGATTCCTGAGAAGCACATAACTCCTAGACCAAAAATGAATAGGTTCTCTTGGAGGTGCTGCGAAAACTGTCCAACAGCTGATACAATTACCTAGTTTAGGAACCTCACGGGGAGGTTGCTGTGGAGTAATCAGCAGTCACTAGAATTTTATTTTAAGATGTGCTTGGCAGATGTGTTAAAAGATCTGAATTTGGTTTAAGAATGGAGGCAAGTTGCTTATTTAAACTGCTGCACAGATATCCAGGACATGTATGCTCCTCTAGACAGAGGAGAAATAAAGGATTTCCCAGGATTCTAATGTCTTTGCTTGGGCAACGTCAAGACATGGAAATTCACTAACATCTATTTTCATTAAGCCAATTTCCCAAAGATTGCATTTCTACTTTAAAGAATCCTGAGAAAACTTAATTTTTTCAGAAAAAAACAAATGAACAAAACAAAACCCAAAAACCCAATTAATCTCATAACTCCCCCAAAGTAGAATAATAAAAATAAACCCAGAATGATAACCCTAAAGCCCATATCAGGGTTTCTCGACCTTGGTGCTATTGGCATTCAGATCAGGTAACTCTTTGCTGTGGGGAACATCTTATGTTATGCACTGTAGCATGGTTAGCCAGATGCCCTGTCCCTCTCCACTCATACCACTAATACTCTCCTTCTAAAACCGTGGCAACCAAAGATGTCCCAAGATACTACTCAATGTCCCTGGGGCTCAAATTTGTCCCTAGATGAAAATCAATGACCTAGAATAGGAATGGATTTACTTTTCACTCTTAAGACCCTGAAAGTATTTTCAAGTATTGGTTCATTATTTCTCTCTGGGCGTGCAATTTTTATAAAGTAGCTGCACAGCAAATGGCCTTAATTTCTGCAGTATAGAAATCAAGGTATCAGGTAGATGATGTGACTAGCATGATGAGAATGAGCTTCCACACCATTGGAGGCACAAAAGACAGATCTCTGTCACTAGACGCAAGCTTAATTACTTCTCTTGCCTGCTTCCAAGAAAGAGCCCTAGTTTTCATATCTCACCAAAAATAAGGGATTGAAAATGCATCACTCCAGGTCTCTTCTGAAGAAGTATGAACTTAGGTTTTTATGGTTGCTTCAATTTATCTCCATTTCTGCCTTCTTTGTTCACAACTTAACTTCCCTTTCATTCTTCCTTTTTGCCCTGTCTGTCTTGTTCAACCCTGCTGTGAGGCAGGCTAAGTGCCTCGAAATGCTTGTTGATCCCACACAGGTCCTAATCCTACAGGATCTTTACAAAGTATGCTTAAAGAAAAGGAGACCAGGTATATTTCAATAAATGGGAATTCTCAGATGTGGTCTAAGTAAAGGTATTAACACGCTGATCCCACACAGAAATCTCTGGAGGGAACAGTTCATTGCAGTAGAAACGAGCATTTACACTTAGTAGTTTCTGGAAAGAAACTTCTGCTTCAGTGTTCAGGATTTTAAAAGTTCCTTGGAGCTGGGAGAGGTGCACATAACTGTAATCTCAGCACTCTGGCAGGCTGAGGCGGCAGGATCTCAAGTTCAAGGCCAGCCTACAAATTTAATGACTTAGTGAGACCCTGTCTCGCAATAAAAAGTAAAAACGGGGTGAAGATGTAGCTCAGTGTGGAGGCCTCTGGTTCAATTCCCAGTATTGCAAAAATAAGATAAAATGTATTCCTTGGCTACTGAACTCTAAACTTCAAACTCTACCCAAATATATTTTCACATATTAACCTCTTATTTAAAATTTGTGCCGGGCACAGTGGCACACGTCTGTAATCCCACCCCTCAGAAAGCCGAGGCAGGAGGATCACTTGTGCGTTTGAGAACAGCCTGGTCTACAGTGAGTTCAAGACCATCCTGAAGTACATAGCAAGACCTTGCCTCAAAAACCCTAACTAAATAAATACATGTTGTTAATTTCAACGATCATTTCTCTTTTGAAAGTATTGAAAGGCCATATATAGCAAATATACACCCTACATAAAAACTGCAACATTTATTACTTTGTGCATTGATTTGGGTTAAGAATAGAAGAAAATACAGAAAAGCTCATTTATAACATTTCCCGTTAGGATATTGCTTTTAGGCCAGGATTTAGCTCAGTGGTGCCACACCTGCCTCACAAGTGCAAGGTCCTAAGTTGAATCCCCTGTACCAACAACAACAACAAAAAGATCTTTCTTTTAGAATCTCACATGACTGCACCTTTACAGTGGTATTTTTTGGTCTCTACTTTAGAATAAACTCTACAAAGGGTTCCTCTGCAGACTGTTTCCAACAACTTGGGCACAAATGGAAGGTGTAGCTCAAATTTTCCATAATAACTTACTCTGTGCTTAAGAGTTGTAACATGAAGTTTAAAGCACCAGAAAAATCCCTTAGAAGACTGGCATTCTGTGAGTGCCAACATAATTTTTAAACACAGAGTCGGGGGTTAAAATGTTTACTTTTCTCTTTGTAAGGGCTTTAGGGAAGAAGAAATAGTTACGGATTTAGTAATGAAGGAAGTCCACAGGGCCCTTCTAAGGACTAGTCATAAATCATACTAAGCCATCTGTGATGCAGATAAATCAGGGACAGGGAAAAAGTCATTTTGATATCTATTTTGCATTATGATAACCTTTGCAGGAGTGTTGAGTGCATTTTTTGCTAATGTTGACAGAATTGTACTTCTTCCAAAGAGACAAGTGAAAATGTCTACCTAGCAGTGCAGTTCAACTTGTGTTGTTGGGTCTGAAATGCTTAATAACTGACCAGGTGGAGAAGAAGCAAACTCCCTGGTTATTGAACCAGTTAGCCTTGATCCTTTGTCAATCATACCAGGATGGGAAGAGAAAAGAACAAAACAGAGCTTCAAACAGCAAATATGCTCCTCATAGTAACTCAAGCTGCAGAGCTGGGAAAAAGAAAATGGGGCTGAATTCTACATTGTCTTACCATGGCCATGTTTACAAAGCCCAGTTCACTGTTCGTGCATGATTTCATTTGAACAAAAGGAGATCAGAACGATATGGTGCAGACTTGGAGAAACTTATGATAACAAATTAGTGCATCTAAAAGCTCACAGAAGCTATCAGTGTATAGAGCCCTACATATCTCCAATAATCAGCCACCTTATGGTAGAAAAGGACTTGTGTCAGTAGAAAAACAGGTCAAAGATCCCAGATACTCTAAGAAATGTTAGAAAGTAGATTTGTAATCATATTATAATTAAATATATTTAAATTTTTTATTATTTTGTTGGTGTCATCAAAGTTCTTAGCTTTGCACTCCACAGCCCAAGTCAGCACAAATTGTTCCATGTGGATAGTACCATAATCTGATACTAAGCTTATTTAATAAGAAAATATTTGTTTTTCCTTTATCAAAGATAAAAGTGCACCATCCCTTCCATAGCACACAAATACTAAAGTTATATTTTCTGCATAAGTGAATTTTTTCACCATGGAAAATCAGAACTGATGGCCCAAGGCATACCCAAAAATATATTATGTCCCGACTAACCTCTAGAATTAGTGATACAATGCATATTCACTAAAATAAAAATAAAACCTACAATGTAGCGCATGACTGATACAATGTCAAGAAAGCTGGAATCTGAATAATTTCTATTAATGACTGGCAATTTTCTACGTAGTTTACACAAGGAAAACCAATAAAATAAAAACAAAGAATAATCATTCTAAACCATACATGGAAACAATTGTAGCCTGGTTTTGCAGATCAGAATTTGCTAATAATATTGCTAGAATGAATATTCCTGAGTTGAATGTACGCTAACAGGTGACTGAGACATTATGTGGTGAGAACAGCAAAAATGACAAGGATAAAAACTTTACATATAAAAGACCAAATCATTGAACTCCAAGGATCTATCTCAAGCTTAAATTTAACTTCTTCATCAGAGTCTCTGAATTTAGAGATGTCATCAAAACCAAGCACTGTGTCTTCTGCCCCAAGGTAAGCAGACACATGATTGCAAACTCCCAGTCCACACCATCTTTCCAACTGTACAACACATTGTTTTTGGAGATGAAAGGAAAAACCCAAAGTGGTATCAACAATACAAGGGAAATTAAATATATAAATCAACCAATCAAAAATCTACAGAATTAAAATAAAAGCCAAACCCAGTGTAAGAAATGCAAGTATAAAAATGGAGAACAATCCCCCCAAATCAAAGAAAAAACTAACCAGCTGAGTTGGGAGTGGAGGGTGAATTAGCTTGGCTTCCATGGGCTGACACATTGGTAGCAGTGACAGCCGTTTTGGCAGCATAAATATTGGCTTCCTCTTGAAATTTACCTATGTTCTTCTTGTACCGGATTCGCTTATTTCCAAACCAGTTTGATACCTAGGGCAGTTTAAGAGAAAATAACAAACTTAACATTTCATTCTGTACAAACATTGCAGAACGAAAAGAAGAGCTTATGACAGGCACGAAGAGGTAGGCAAATCAGTCTTCTCCTCCTGATGATTTTGCAACATCAATTAAGAGATCCGAAGAGCTTTAAACAGAACAACAACATAAATTGAGATTCCCTTGTTTAACATAACTAAAATCTACCAAAACCACGGTGATCAAAAAAAATCTGCACATTTAAGTCAGGACTCTTTTAATTTAGAGCAAGCATTTTAAATTTGCTTACTACTTAATTTATGACAGTAAAATAAACATACCAGGAGAAATGCCTGTTTCTTATCAATGCTAAAGCTGACTTAGCACAATTAAAATACACAGACCTTTAAATATCTATATAAATTTATATTAACATATGGGTGCTTTCATGCATAAATTAATTTCAATTTTTTAGACGTTAAATAGCTTTCATATGGACTCAGATTCTTAGCTTCATAGTGTTATAGACTTCAGGATCAATATAACTCCACCCAATACATTTCACCGAGTATTTCCTGCAAAGTTCTGTGTTATCAACATAAGGAAAAGCTGAAACACAGAATGATTATTCCTTCAAATTCCAGGATTTAAATGTTAAAACCAATATACACAATAAACCTAATTTACTTTCATTTGTTAATTTATTTCCTTCATGTGGCTCACAGCAGCTGTCCTGGTTTGATTTGGGATCTCTGCTCCTTTATACAAAGACTTCTGCCAGAAACAAGTGGAGACATAATCAAATTCAAGTTTACCCCCATAATTTCTGCCTTGGGGTGGAAGGTTTTATACCTCATATTCCAGATGTGATTTGTGAACTGAAATGTTGTGCTTTGTATATAATTACAAAACAAACTAAGAATTTGGTGAGGGAATGGTGAATTGAGTGCACATGTACCATGGCTTATAGGAAATTATATGTATTCACCCCTTCCCCATAAAATAGCAGATAAAGAAAATTCTTGCAAAACCATTTTAAAAAAAAGTCATTGAAAATTTAAAACATAAAGCTATCCCTCAAAGTCTATGCAGGTTAGGCTACAGCAAAATGCTAAGCCTTTGTTATAAAAATCAAACTTTATCATGGTGATATTAGTAAACAAGAGAAAAAATTCAGTAACAAAATGAGTTATTTACTGAAGATCCAGAAAAGAAGTTAAACTGAAAGAGGAAGGGCATTTCTGGGTTTATTTCAGGATCACTGTACATCTAATTTCACTTTGAAATTCATGCTTTTCTTGATTTTACTTTCACTATTCATATCAATCAATCACGATTATCACTGCTCTTTGATTTATAAGTGGAATGAGAAGAGAGGAAAACAAGAGGGAAATTTTTCAGAGTGGACTGGAAGAAAAGATGAGGGCAGCTTAGAAGGACTTTCAAAGTATAAAGGAAATGTCCGAAGTTTAATTATATCATGTGTATGTGGAAAAAGATGAAATGGGGTGGGTTTGGGGGAGACCTGTTTGTGGGGCACATGTGAGAATGAGTCCCTTTTAAATAAGAACAGGAGTGGTTGGGAAGATGCTAGGTCTGTTTAGGCATTTCTTATATTGTCCACTATACAGTGAACACAGACTCAGTGTTCTCACTAATTGATTAACTGTTCAGTTGTCACAGACTAAGGGCCTAATATGTGTAGGGCACTAGGGGTGCGCACAGGACACTGTACAGGTCACAAAGAATAATGGATTTTGTGGCAAGAGTTTGATTCCCATCATGAACATGAAAAGTTCCATGAGTCTATGGTAGAGTCACTCTGAAGTCCAGTAGGAGATAGGATATGAGTTTGGTGTTTTACAAGAAAAGGCCCATCTGGAGGGATGGATATTTGTAGCTATGAGTGTGTAGAGCAGTGTGTTTGCAAGTCAAGTGCTCATGGACAGCTTGTGAAAAATGTTTCTGCACTCCACTCTTAAAGAGATTCTGATCCAGGATTCTTCAGTGAGTCGACAGAACTTACATTTCTCACACACTTCCTGGCATAGTTGATAGGCCACACTTTGAGGATCACTGGTGTGGAAGAAGGGCTCTTTAGGTGTCTAGGGAGAATGTAGTTGTTAGATGCATTTCACACAGACTTGGGTGTATGAACATATTTTGTTTGGGGCCATGACAGAATCAATAGCTTTCAGTGGATTACAAAAGAATCTGTGACTAGCAAAGAATGGCAAAGGATTGTTGGCTAAGTTGTATAGAGATGAAAACTAAAGAAAAAACAAAAGTAGTTATAGAATAGATAGACAAAGTAGACCCTCTACAAAGTGTGGCCTAAGAGAAGAGGAGGGAGCTCAGAGGGAATTGCATCAAGGCAAGGTGGGAAAATTTTTTAAAAACAGTGATTATTAAAAAGAGAGAAGAAAGACAGTAACTCCCTGTCTAGATATGGAAACTTGAAAGGATATTTAACATATGATACAATGAAGTATAATTTGTAGATTGGAAAATGAAGATCCCCCAAATTAACAGTGAATCCCCTAGAATTATACAGTTGACCTTTCTCAAAACTGTGTCCCTAACATAATGCTGGTTCTATGAATCATACTGTATTGTGTCCCATTAGGACTTGCTTAGCAATGGTGGAGCAAATTATCGCTCTTGGGAGGTGGGGGATGAGGTGATGGGGAAGGAAGAATGCAGGCCTTGGGGTGGATGGAGGAAAGAAAAAGTGATATAGTAAGCAAATAACCATTGTATTGAACAAAGTATGTGCACCTGAGTTTCTGTAATAAGAAAAGTAAAGGTTGTTGGAATAGAACAAGGCTCTACATCATCAACATCATCATCAACATCATCGTCAACATCATCATCATCATCATCATCATCATCATTATTATTATCATCATCGACTGAACCCAGGGCCTTCTTACTAAACTATATTCCCAGCTTTCTAAAATTTTTTGAGTCAAGTTTTCACTAAACATTTTATTCAGCTGTAATATAGGTTAGCTCCAGAAAGGTTCATTTTCACTTCTAGAGAGATAAAAAAGCATCATTACTTTTTTCTTTTTTTTTGTAAACAAGGGGTCTAGATTTAGACAAGAATGGTTACTGGCCTGGAGAGTGTGTGTGTGTGTATGTGCTCCTGCATGTGCACACATCTGAAAATGATCTTCAGTGAGGGCAAAGTGCCTCAGAAGGAGGGCCTGGGTTAAAAAGGAGTCTACTCTGGAAAAATTTTTCCAAGGATGTTTGCTGCGGCTAACTGACCTACAGTTTGTTAGTCCGGCTCAGGCAATCCTTTCCTTGTAAATACCTTTGGTGGTGTTCTCCTCTATTTTGATTGGACTCGATTTTGCTTAGCTAAACACAGGTTGATACAATCAGCCCCCTGCTGGGAGTAACAGAGCCAGGATTCAATTCAGGGATGTGCAGATGCTTAGTTTATATAGAACAGCATCTACTTGGTTTGAGAAATGTTTAGTGAAGTTTCTCCTCAGAGTAGACTTCTCCATTACTTCCTTTCATCCCTTAAAGGAAACACTAGCACACTCAGTTCTCTTGCAAGTGATGTAATTCTGAGGAAAACTTACTCTGACAGATTTCAGGATTCTCACTGAAGTCTCAATGAGAGACTATGGCTGATACTTGAAGGTCAAACTGAATAAGAAGTTTGGATGGACCCTTGGAGTAGAAAAATGTAATTGTATATAAATATTGCCTCTTGTCTACTTCATATTAATGTTGAAGACTCCAGGTCTATAAAAATTTTATATCATGTATATTTCTAACTCAGTAGGTACTGGCCACAGTTACTGCATTTTGGGGGAAAGGGATCCTCAGTGACAGTTTTTGTAACCATTTCAATGCAATAATGGTGACATGGTAAAAATTCCTTCATTCTGTCTGTTATAGAGTCAGCACATCAAGAGAAGACATTTGATTGCACTTTTCTTTTTAAGGCCATAGAATGACTGGTTTCATTCATTGACTCTTAAATTCAGTGAGTAAAGAATGGACTAAGTAAGGAATTGACCAAGTTTCAAAAAATAGTATTAGAAATATAGATGGCTTTCAAAGTACATGGAAAAAACTACCCATTCAAAGCAAAGGAGTGCTCTCTGAGAAGAGCCTTATCCTTGTTTTTGTATTGGTTTCTTCCTCTTCTTCTCTCCCTTCTGCTGGGTCCTCTCACATTTTTCAGGTACTTACCTTGAAGCTCTCTTACACAGACCAAGTGCTTACCTCACTATCTTAAAACTTTGGCTAACAGACCTTACAAGGCACAGATGTTCAGTAAAGCAAGACCACCACAAAGACCCTGCCACAAGGCTCCCCTAAGGCCAGGCTGCAGGCTGGGCCTTTTGGGGTCTTCTTACCTGGGAGACCGTGATGCCACACTTCTTGGCTAGCTCCTCTTTGGCTTCCTCACTGGGGTAAGGGTTGCTGAGATGGGAATAAAAATACTCATTCAGGATCTCCGTTGCTTGCTTGTTGAAATTCCGTCTCTTCCGCCTCCATAAAGAGAAAAGGAAAGGGAACACCAAAAACGTTTACACCAAATAAATACAAGGGAGAGAACACGCTCTCTTTCTGGGAGAAGACACATTTTTGAGCAAAAGGTGAATTAGAGATTTGCAAAAGGGGCTGGATGCTGAAATCGTGAAAGGCATTTGGTCAGTATTGCATTGTGCACCAGAGAGAAGAATACATAAGATTCAGGCCATCTTGGTTTTGAATCATGGGTCAACTGGGCACCAGCAGGGTTATTTAGGTTGTCTCTCTAAGTCTCAGCTTCTTCTACTAAAAATGAGGAGTCATATTGAACTCACAGGGTTAAAGGAAAGGGGACAGAAAGCCACACACAGGAAACACTCAGCCCAGGGCCTGATATATGTCAACAGCTGAGACGCAGTGGTGACCATTTAAGGTTTAGATCTAAAATGTCCCCCCAAATTCCCAATTGTGTGGAAGATGACTAGGTCATGGGAGCACTAGATCATCAGTGGATCCACTGATGAGTTCAGTAGCTGAATATGCTATTGGTATATGTGCTGCCCAAGAGAGCATGCTGAATGTTCTATTGGGAGGTGGAGCCTGGTGGGAAGTGTGTCATTGGAGGCGGGACCTGGAAGCCTGTATTCTGGTCCCTAACTTTTCCCTTCTCTCCTTGCTTCCTGATTTCCATCCCCCTCTGCTGCCCTGTTCCTGCTTTGGAGTGCACTGACCTCAGACTGAAACCCTGAGCCTTAAAAGAAAGCTCTCCCCCTTTAAGTTGTAGGTGTCAGGTATTTTGTTGCAGTGACGGGAAAGTGACTAAGACACAAACCTTCCTACTATGTCACAGCAATCAAGTCAAGTGATTCACTTTCAGGACTAGCCAGCTAGATGGCTTATTCCTATTTACAGCTGAAAAGCCCCATTCAAAGGTCACTTAGCTGGTACATTGTTGGAGAGCCAGGATGTTAATTCAGGTCTGCCTGACTATGAAACCCAATCTCTTCCTTCTACACGAGTTGGCTCCTGGCCATTACACACAGACTCCGCAGCCACAAGTTAAAAATAAGTTATCATTTTCTCTCCATTCTATCCTCATATTTTAAAATGCAACATTTTAAAAAAGGCATCTGGGAAGAGGACAGTGAACTGACTGAAATTAACCCCCTGACTGCCTGTGCTCTTTCAAAAGGAGAAAAAGAGGACTCACTTCTTATACAGGAACAGCTGCTAAATGGTCAAACAAAAGCCCACAGAAATCGTTTTCAAATCCAGGTTGCCAAAACGAAGAAGACTACTTTCAAATCAAAGCATTTTTTGCCTTAAGAAAAAGTGTTAATTGAACTAATTTCAAGTGAGAAGCATTTCAGTGCTTCCTTCCAGCTCAGGCCTGTGGAGAGCCAGGGGACTCCAGTTCATGGCAGATCTGGCTTGCTCTCCTTGAAGTTGTAGGGTCTTCATCTTCAAATTAGCTCCCTTAGCACTTTTGTCTTTCTAGCTTCTATCAAATGCTTTTCCTTATGGAAAAGATTTCCAGAATATCTTTGGCTATGCCAGAATACAGAATTTCCCAATTTAGCCAACCGAAAGCATGGATGGCCTTGCTAGGCAGGAAATTCAGCTAATATTGTATTTTCAGGGTCCCACTTGGATTAATTAACAAAATAAAGTACCTGATTTTACCAGATGAACACCATCTGTCCATAGGTATTAACCACATCTGTCCAGATTATGCCAGGCCCAAGTCACTCTCCCGAATCACGCTGAGTTTCTGGGTCATCCAGCATCAGAAATCGGACAGATTGGATTAAAAGGCCCAAATAAAAAGTAGGCTTGTGCTAAGAGCCCTTGCTTGATGGGAATTTGAGGAAGATAGCCAAGTGGCTGATGCTGGTCTTTACATAACCTTCGTCTGCTGCTTCTCTGCCTGAGGAAGACAGTTGTTTTAGGCCTGGGGAACTGGACCCCAAAGGCTCCCCTAATTGTGAGAGTCTCCGTTCATTCATACAGTTGTTCGCATTAGCATTACAGTGTATTTTTTGGGACTCTTCCAACTGAGCTCAAAGGAAACTTCTCTGGAATGAGCTGGTGGCATGGGGATGGTGTGGACAGCTGTTCCTGCCTCACTCTGTGTTGTGTTGCACACTCTTCCCTGGGTGGTCTTCACTGTGATGGACACGCTCACCACCTCTTCCAGTACCTGCCTCAACCTATGGCCTCTGAAATTCTAAGATCAGTATATTTTTAGAGTTTCAGAAAATACAGGCCATTTACATCCAAGCTACACCTGATTTCTTGGCATAGCTTAAAGTGAGTTAGCATTTGTGATTTCAAGCCCACCAGGCACTCTGGTAGTTGAGTATCTCAGTTTGCAATGTGAGAAAAGTGGATGCTGATTAAATATTACTAGATAAAGAGTATTTTAGGGATAGAAGTCTTCTGAATCACAAGGGCACAGGAGACATTTTTTATAAAACACTTGGAATAGTGAGAAATGTAGGCATCACAGACATACACTGCTCACTACTGACTGTCACCTTCTACACTAATCCCTCTTCTAAGAGCCATTGCCCCATTTTACCACTGCAGAATCCAGGCAGCCAGCAGCAAACTGTGTTTCCAAAACTAACATCACTTTTCACCTAAATCAGTTCCATCTCCTTTGTTACCCAGTGTTGCATGATACCAGCACAGAAACAATTCATGGCAGTTGCCAATTTGTTCATTGACTCAAATATTTGAGTGCCTGATATGTGACCCAAGACCCAAGGACTGATTCTCAACACCTCTTTATTATCCTCATCAGATGGCTGACCCCAGAGAAAGCTCTGCCAGTCCCATCCTTTTGCATCTCTCTTCGTCTGCCCCTGCTCCAGTCACCACTATTTTTGAAATGGGTTTTGATGAGCCAGTTGCTGTTCCGTGATCCAGTGTAGTCCAGGAGCACCTTTTGTGACAAGGGAAGGTGCTGTCCCTGCACCGACAACACAGAAGTTATGAGCGCATGTGCTATGTGCACTTGAAATGTGGCTAGCGTAGCTGAAGAACAAAGTTCCAAAGTATTATGCATTATAATTTGATATTTAATTAATTTAAATGTAAAATCAAATAGCTATATACTAAGTAGTATAACTCTAGACTGATGCTTCCTGTAAGAGTGCCCAAGCAGCTCAACTATGAGACACCACAGAAAGCACAAAATGTCTACGATGACCTATTTTGTTCTGCTTCATGATACACAAATACTCACCTTCAAATGAGAAGGTTCTTTTGAGTATCTGCATAACATGCAGAAGGTATTTCACACTTAGGGTCTCTGGCTCCCGTCTAGAGACTGCAGAGTCTGAGGTGCTAGTTCCCTACAGAGTTTGTACTGATTCAGCTCATGTTCTAAGGAATCATCAGAGTAGTTTTCTTTCCTTTTTTTTTTTTTTTCTGGTACTGGGGATTGAACTTGGGACCTTGCGCTTGCGATGCAGGTGGCAGAACTACTGAGCTAAATCCCCGGGCCAGAGCAGTTTTCTTAAACCATGAATTCATTCATGGGATGATGATGTACATAACAACAGATAATATGGCAATCATTAGTATTATAGCTGAATAATGGCCTGAATACAATGTGCCAAACACTATACCAAGTTTTTCATATAATACTATTTATTTCTGTTTACAGAATTATTCCCATTTTACAAATACAAAACCTGAGCGTTTTGGAGGATGAGACACTTATCATCAGGCTTGTGGAAAGAATCTGAACCAATGCTAGAACTTAGACAGTATTTTCCTACAGTCTCTCCCTGAGTTTCTTCATTTTAACAGGGCAGATTCCAAATCTTCACTGGTAGAGCTAAGTCTTTCCAGTGATCCATCCTGTTTCCTAGATCTATGCTCTGCACAATTTTTTCTAACCACATCATACATTTATCCACTAACTAAAGACTCCGGTGGCTGCCATGCACCCCTAGCTCTTCATATCTCTCTCCCACAATACTTGACCCAAGTTTACATATGGCTCTCAACTAAATGAAAACTCCACAAGGGAAGGAGCCATGTCTCGCTCGTATTTGAAACCTCTGTGTCTAACAGATAGTAAGCACTCAGGTGAGAAGTCCTTATCGAACTTGAGTTAAGTTGTTCTACTTTGCCCCTTACCCCTTTTATTTGACAAATGTCCTGCTCTTCTGGAATTCAGCACCCTCTGGCCTCTCCTTGGATCGGCTTTGCTCCAGGTGGGTTGGCTGATGGATGTACGCAGAGTGCAGCAGGCACTTTTCTGTGTATTTGTAAGATTATCTGTTTGTCCCACAAGATGATGAACTCTGTGAAGGCTGGAGCCATATTAGTATGTATTTTTGTCATCTCTGTCATTCCTAGTGGCTAATAGAGCATCTGGCCAATACTAGGGGCTCAATTTGATACATAAATAGGTTTGGATTCAGTGTCATTTGATTAGAGATTACTGGATTCCTTTCTTTTTTCTTGCCATTCTCTCCTTTGGTAATTCATTTTATCTAATCTCCTCTAACTCCACAAGTGCACAAGCATATTTCTAATAATTTGCTTATGTTATTATTCATCTTTCTAACAAAGTGCTTCAGAAAAATTCATTAAAATTTTTGGCTGAAAATCATTTAGAGGGTTTCTACGTTCTTCCCTGCTTTGAGAAAAACTCTGTAGTCCTGAAAAAACTTACCAAGCTGACGGTACTGTGCTTGGTGCATAGCAGGAGATAACTGACAATGAATGAGTGAGGGAAGGAATGAGTGGAATTTTTACATTGCATTTTCCTGGCATAGTTAATATAAGGAAGAGAAAGGACGTGACCTGAACACAACACACCTCAGCTAAGTGCTTGGTCAAGAACTGCGGTGGGCAGAATGCTACTGACCCCAACCCTGGTGTATGCGTCTTCATGCACTAGTGCCTGGAGTGGTGAACGCGATGGCCTATAACTCCTGCAATTAGTTACTATCAGTTCACTTTGAGAAAATAAAAGAGGAGACCTGGTGAAAGCTACAATTAGAGAGCCTTCTGAGGGATTGGTGTTCAGGAAGAAAAGAATCAACGCTGTGGGGTGTGTCATGGAGAAGGGTGGCCTCTAGGAACTGGGGCTCTCTAGCCTGTTGTCCCCAAGAACCCCTCCTGCCAACCAGACGGAGCTTGGAAGAGGACCCTGAGCTTCAGATTCAATCTCAACCTCAGAAGACACCTTGATCAGAGCTGTGAGGATACTAGAGCAGAAGACCTGGCTGAGCCAGAACCAAACCCCTGACCAATAGAAACTGGGAAATAATAAACCTGGGAGGTGATCTGCTCCATAACACTAATAGAAGGCGTGTTTCACAACAAAGTAGTAGCAATCAATTCCGCAAACCTATTAGATTACAAAGACTAATCCTTTTACTAAATAAAGTCCTCTCTGTATTTTATTTGTCTTCCCTGAAGTTTTTTTATTATTTCTTTTTTTGGATGAGGCCCTGTCCATCGGACTCATGCAGCACATGAGTATGGACAGTGAGTACTGTATGTCTTTTTTACTAACTTTTTCTTGGCTCTCTTTCCCAATTATAGTTAGAGACATGAAAGAAACGATATGAATTTTCTAATCAGGAAGTCTGGGCAAACATTTGTTTGTGAGCTGGGAAAGCCATTTGCTCAGCCTTGGGCTGGCATTTATGGTGATGCTGTTTTGTGGATAATAAATATAGCTGCAAAATAAAATGATAATAACAATGATAGTAGGTGAATTGTTTCAGTTTCGGATCTTGGCTGAGGCACAATGATTCAAAGGTTGTGAGGAAAGCAAGAAAGAGACCCTGTCTTAAAGAAATTATCCCTCTGGTGCCAACTGGAACAATCCAGGCTGAGGCTGGTGGAAGTGAAAGGAACTATGCACAAAGCTCACCTCGTCTGGTGTTTTTTAGAGTCTGACCTTCAGCTAGGCACAGAGAATTACTGCAAGAAGAAATCCAAGGAGACAATGATTCTGCTCCATCTTTCCTACCAATTTCATTCTTGAAAGGAGCTCAGTCTGGATCCAAATTTTTGTTTCTTTTTCACTATCTGCCAACATAAATACCAACTCCAGCATTGTAACTAGGGGGCTTTCCATGGGGATTTGTGCAACACATGCAGTGTGGTGGTGTCTGCAGCACTAAGAAGGACCCAGAGTGAGCACTTGTACCTGGCACCACGTGGATCGGTGCACATTAAAAAGCCAGGCTAGTGGCAGGCTGTGGGGCGAGGGAGATGCACAGAGGGTCCTGCGGCAGGGTGATCTCGCCTACTCCCCTCCGTCACTTATCTCAGCTGGGAAAAACTGTCTTTGTTTTCATTTCTCTTGACTTTATGACCCAGACTTACATTCTTCTCACTGGCATGCTCATTTTGTATTTCATACAACCCAAAATACCTCGAATAAATGGGAGGTTAGGAGATGATGCCAGGAGCTTTGGAGAGGTCCCTGGATTGTAAAGGCTACAACGGTGAAGGGAGAGAAATAAATGCAGCTAGGAGAGCTGAATAGTACATGATTCAGGGAGGAAAATCCAAACAGGAACAGGGAATCTTTCTGTCTGACCGAGAAAGGACAAAACTGTAGAGCATACATGGTATACTGATTTAACATAGCAAATATTCTGTATAAAAATCATAGATTGAGACGACTTTCAGCTACGGAAATAGTGAATGATGGCATATGGATTCCTAAGAGATGACTGATTCGAGATGAACTGTAGATCACAACACATCCCCATATTCTGAGATGTGTTTTCTGGACCAGTTATCAAAACGTTTCTCTAGAGTAGACCAAAGATATGATTATCACCTTCCTCCATGCTAGATAACAGAAGCAAAAATAACTTAAAGGGTTTACATACATCCGTTGCTCTACAGAGGGGAAGCAGAAACTGATGACTTGTTCTTTGTTCTCAGTTCTCTGGTTTTTAAAAAGGACCTTTCTATCCATGTTTCCTTCAACTGAATGCTTTGAACTCACAAGTAAGGTCATGAGCCACGATGCCAGACAGAAATCATCAGCCCAGCTGGGCCCATGCCAGACCACCTCCTTGCTCCTCTATGCCCAAGAGACACTGTCTTGCTCCTCTGTGTACTTCTAAAACTAAGTGGGACTATGGAGCATGGTAACCTAACAAATCCTTCTTGAACTGAACTGCATACACCTTCTATCCATTTTATATTCTGTGGAAAGAATCCTAGCTTTCAAACAAAAATGACCCACTTGGAGGAAGTGTTCCTACAGCCTTCGAGGACAATGATAAGGGACCGAACCATAGTATGAAATACACTTATAAGAGTGGCACTCGGTGCTCTGAGAATGAAAGATCCTGCTTCCTCTGTCACTGTAGCTGTCATCCTTGCTGCCTGCCCAGTTGGTAGCAAGGGGGATAAAACTCTCCCCTCCAATCACATTCTTTCCTGGCAGTACTCTGTCTCAGAGCTTGCCTTTACCAGGACCAGAATCATCCTCTGGTCACTGTTTGGCTCAGCACCCAACATGGCACAGTGGCGCATTTCTAGAGGGCCAGCCCATGGACTCCAACCCTGGCCAGGTCAGTGATTCTCCAGGAGACGGGGCAGCCCTGCCGGGGACTCACCGTGCATCCAGAAACCGGGAGCGCAGGATCATGACGGCCTCACACGTGCTCTGCTTGAGCTGCATCTGGATGGAGCTGAACTTGCGATGGATGATGCTGACCATCCGCTCGATCTCCTTGGGCGAGATGGGCCTGGTCCGGCTTTGTTCTCGCAGGAGATTCATCACATGGGTGGTGAACTCATTGCATGCCTGCAGGGTCAGAAGAATAAAAACGGGGTGGACTGAGGACCCAGGGGTTAGCACACAGCGGGTCCACGGTGCGAGGCTGGGTGGGCTTTTCCAGAAACTTGTACAGATAAAGAAAGCTAGGAGAGCTCATGGTATTTTGACAGAATAAATGGCTGCCTGAAATTTCCTGTTATCCAAGTTTGGGCTCTAAGTTTTGGTCATGATTTTAATTTTTTTTCTAATCTTTTTCCCCCCATGATTTTACTACCATGAAAGATGAGAATAAAAAAATCCTAGAATAAAACATATTTCAGCACCTTTTGCCCCAGTGTTAACAGCAAAAGAGCTGGAGTCAGATAAATCATAAGCCTTCTGCCTTTCTCATTATCTCTGCTATGGGAGAGTTCCAAATATTCAATTTGGGGGTGCATAAACAGCCAAGTGAGTTTAAGTAGATTCGTGGAATTAAAAGCTTTGATAAATCCTTCTGGGAGACTCCTCATCGATACAGTTCTAGTTTTCTTTAAGGAAGCCCTCCTGTAGTGACCTTATGAAGATCTGGTATGTCTCTAACACAAAGGGAAGCTGTCTCCAGAGACCTATAAAAATAGCATCAAAACATGATTTAGAAGATCCAGGAACTATCTTTTCAGGAATAAAAATTCTTGGGCTGTACACCAACATACTATACAGTACCAGCTCTGGAAGTGAAGTTGGAAATCAAATTTCTCTATCTCCTTCTTTTACAGTTGGGAAAACTGTGGCCCAGGAAGATGAAGGGACTTTTCCTCTGGCATAGCGTAAGCAAGAAAAACAGAAGCAGGGCCCAAAGGCTCCATGTCACAGGCCAGGGACATCTAAGCCTCTACCTGTTCCTCTGAAAACCACTGCCCTCTCCTTTAACTATTATTACTTAGCATCTGTAGTCTGATTTCTTTCTCTGAACATTCAGTAAAATATCTATCCACAGATTAACTCACAGCAATGCTGTAAAGCTGTATTAGATTTGTAATGAAAAAGGCAAGATGATGCTTTGGGAATTGAAGAACGAAGGGCTGAAAGGGCTCCAACTTAATATTAACAGCAGAACATGCTCATTATTGACAATATTGTGTTGTGGTTGTTTTTACAGCATGAAGTCCCTTCATATGTCAATAATGCAGTAACAGTAATAGCTGCGCACATTCACTGATGATTTATCTAAGAAACCCTTTGGGTGGTCAAAGGTTCGCAGGCAGATGCATCTCCCGGGGTGGGTCTGAACTGGAGAGGGGGAGGCCTGGTGGGGACCTGCCTCCGTGGACACTGGGGCAAATCCTTTCATTACGCCATGCCTCCTTCTATTTATCTGAGTGGACATAGTCAGCTCTAACCCTTAGCACATATGATGGTGCCCATGCCCTTGTGCATAAGGACCTGTAGATGGACAACGTCACTCTCATGGACACAGCAAGAGGCCGAGTAAGAGCACAGACTGCTTGGGTCCCTGCCTGGGCCACTCAGGCAGCAGTGCGATCTCCAGAGTTCCTTAACGTCTTTGTGCCTGTTTTTCCTTATTTGTGAAATGGGAAAGATAATTCCCATCTTAGAGGATGCAGAAGAGATTAAATGTGTTACTCTGAGTGTGCCTGGCCTTACAAATTCATGTCATAATTACGGCTTCAAAATTTAGATAACGTGGGTGGGCTGGGGATATAGCTTGGTGGCAGAGCATTTTCCTGGCATACAGGAAGCCCTGGATTCAATCCCCAGCACTATTTTAAAAAAATAGATATGGATACATACTGTTTTGCTCTCCACTCAGAAAAGTGCTACAGAAACACACAAGATTTGTACACACACGTATTCCCTACCCATCCTCAACCCCCAGAGGTGTACAACAAAGAGAGGGAGACAAAACCCAGAGTCAAGTCAGCTGAGAGCCTGAGGCCACTGGATGGAGCGTGAGGCTGAAGCAGCACGGAGCAAGCAGCAAGCATTTCTGCCTCTCTGCTAGGGAAAGGCACCCTCCTGCTGGGCCCCAGCCTCCCCACCTCCACGGGGCTGCCAGGAGGAGGGGCTGGATGCCAGGAGTTGTTGTCAAGAGCGCCAGCTCTCAGCTGGGAGGCCACAGTGCTCGGCTAATAATAATGTGCTTCATTACGGTGAATAAAAATACGCACAATCTCTGATGTGTAGTCAGGGCATTTTGTCCCGGAGCCCTTTCTGCTCTGCAATAAACAGACAGCAGAGTCTTCTCACCCACTGCTGAGCCAGAGCAAAGCAGCTGCGAAACAGCTGCTCAGGAAGACACCACAGAGAGCAAGGAGTTCCAAGTCCAGTTAGATGGATAGAACGCAATGATCTGGATTCCCCAGAACCTGGCCCTCCCGCAGCTTCTTCTCTGTTCCCCCACACTGGGCCCTGTTGGAACGGCTGCTCTCTTTCATCAGGCATTCATTCACACTGGGACCGGAAGAGGACTATACAGGGGTGAAACCATCGAATACACAGAATCCTCCCAGGTGCAGGTGTGTGCTGTAGACTGTCAGGTACGGGATGTTCTAAAGCTCAAGCTGCCCCTCCAGGCCAGAGGGAAAAGGGGGGCATCCCAGGTTCTAGACAAGGGTGTTTTGGGGGACAGCAAAGTAAAGAGACACCTTTGCAGAGAACCTCCCGAGGTCCCAGATGGTAAGCTCATGTCCTACCCTTTCTACCAGTCATTTTCCTTTAGGCTTCAAGTTGGATTTGGCTGCCAATCTCATCCACAAAAAGCAGAGCTCTCTTTGCTGTGCACTAAATTAATCCAGCTCAGTTCCACATTAGATATTTAGCCCTGTCTATCCCCCAATGGCATTATTTGTAAAAGCTGAAGAACTCTGCAAAGCTACAAGAAGTTCATTTTTATAAATAGCCCGTGGAATTAATTTCCGGTTCCTGACACCCTGGTTCCATCTATTGGAATACGCTGGCTCTTAACTACTTCAGCTACCACTACGACCTGCTGAAAACGTGTTTTACCAATCTCATTTAATGGAGAAAACAATTTTCTTCTTTTCTTTTTAATGAAAGCCTCTAGAAGCTTCTTTATTTAATAACCACAGCGACGGAATGAGGTAGGTTGTTCTGGAGTGCTGGGGGTGAGCGAGCTATGACGGTTAATTATTGTGTGGTAATCTGCCACTTCCACAGCAAAAATAAAACAAAACAGACGAAAGCAGCAGATTCGACTGGTAAACACTCAATTTGGTAATTTCACAGAGCTACTACTAAAACAGAGTGCCATTTCATTTGACTGAGGTTTTTTACTTTTAAAAATGTCCCCATGAGGAACTGTTCAAGAAAAGTGGATATATCTCTGAAACTAGCTAAAGGTTAATAGTACCATCTCCCTATGATCTGCTATTCATTATAATTAATAACATAACTTGCTTTAATAAACTATTAAGCAACCAGAACGTACCCAACAATATTTACTCCATCGCCAGAAAATGCCCATATAAATAAGGAAATGATGCTTTAGCATAGTCTGAAAATAATAAATACAGATGACTACTACTATTACACTTCTATAATTTGCTCGGTACTGACAAAAATTTTCTCTAAGTTCCCAATTTCTAACAGCTTTATTATTTAGAACCGTAGGTAGCCACGAGAAGTATCTAGATAGAACATTTTTATCAGTAACCTATCTTAGGTGACAGCAAACTAGCCAGAGCAGAAACAGAGAGGACAAGCTGGGCACTTTGGTGTCCTCAGAGGTCCATACTCTGTTCTTAAACACAAGCAAGCATTAAGTTCCAGAAGGGCCCTTGGGCTACAGGTCAAATACCATATTTTAGGGCAAACTCTGTCCCTCATTAGATGCATGACTTTGACCTCTATGTTGTCACCCAGATCAAAATGAAGACAATGACAGTACCTGTCTTGGGTACCAAACTTCAAAACCACCTCGGGGGAGCAATTGCAATTCTGTCGGCCAGGGTGTTTTGTAATCGGGGACATGCTATTCATGGGTATTGTTGCAATCAGAGTTTTTGCTCATTTTGGATGAGGATGGGGGAGTGACAAAGGGATTTCAGTCACGAAAACAGACACTTCTTGTGTGTTGCTGGCATCCTGAGGCTAGAACAAAGCCCGTTTTCAATCCTTTCCAACCTAACACACGTTCTAGTTTTGTGAGTGGGAGAAGTCACACCCCAGCTCCTCCTTAGCCGTTCTTTTTAGCCATGAGTTCACCTGGATAACAGGTCTAGACGGGTTGTCCGGCCAGAGCCCAGGCTTCCTGGTGACTATGAAGTAGAAAGAACCTAAAATGTCAAAAAAGAACCTTTGACGGGAATATTCCTATGTGTCTCTGAAGCTATTGAGTCAGGGCAGACTCCAACTTCTAACCGGATGGTCCTGGTGGAAGACACTGTAATGGTTCAGTGAGTTAAGGTCAGGCTCTCCCAGGATCTGGGAAATATCTACCTGAGCCAACATCCTATCAAGAACATTTGTTCTTTCCCAAGAAGGTGAAGCTCAGGCTTTCCCAGGATCTGGGAAATAGCTACAGGAGCCAACACCATATCAAGAACATTTGTTCTTTCCCATGATGAGTCATGGGCTCTGACCACAGCTTGCTTTCATTACCTCTCCTTCCACCCTCCCTACACCTTGTCTGATGTCTGAACTTCATCATGGTTGGCTTTAAGCTTCACAGCAATTTCCTTCACACAGAAGAGAGAACTTTGTAGAAAACTATTTCAAAAGTAGAGAGGAGGGTAATAATGAAACGACCTTCACTTTAAATTTTAAAATGCCTATTTCTATTTTAAATTTAAATTTGCTATTAAGTTTGCATTTGCCTTCTACCTGGACAGTCAGAGATGAACAGCAGAGGGGTTTCTATCTTTTACTTTTTCTCTCTTTTCTTTTTTGAGTCATAAAAAGCAAAGAAAAGCAAAACTAACAATTTGGTGAGAAGAAGTTCATGTAGAACTCCAGGACTGTGTTGGATCCAAAGAGGTAACAACAAACATACTTGGTAGGCAAATGGTGATAGACAGGAAATACCAGTGTTAAGGGGATCTAACATAGAAGTACTGCTCATAATAACCTGAGAAAACAGTGCTGATGTACACATTAGCACACATGTGGGAGCAGGCGGGGGTTCTCTGAAGGAAGCTCTGTTCTATTATCTTGCATTCGTCCACTGCTTTGTAATTTTTTTTTTTTTTGATACCGGGGATGAAACTCGGGTCCTTGCACTTGCACAGCAGGCAGCGGAACCGCTGAGCTAAATCCCTGGCGGCCGACTGCTTTGTAATTTAAAGCCTTTCTTATATTTTCCTTCATTTGCTCTTCACAGCCTGGCCTGCAAATTCACGGCTCTTTCTCACATGCTCTCAGCTTTTGGATAGAGGAGGCACAACCCATGGGTCCCACGAACTGTCAGGAGAGTGGCAGGATTGGAACTCAAGTTTGTCTGGCTCAGATGTCCTGAGATGCTGTACTTTTCTGATGGAGGAAAATGTGAATCACATTTCATGTCACATATTACAGAAAAAGGAGAACATGTCTGACTCTCAACTGAACTGAGCTTGGGTACAGAAAGGGACTTTAAAGCCAAGTTTTAATGTCCTTTCCTATAAGTTTCTATGAGCACCCAGAAAAGAAATCCTAAATAAGGAATAAACAAGGGCCAGAAACCTCCCATAGATGTGGCATAGATCGGGTGGTGGCCCCACTAATGACCTACAGGAGATGAATAAAATTTATCATTAAAAAATTATTAAAGTAAAAGCCACATTGCCATTCATCCTCCTCAAAATACTCCCCTTTGTTCTTAACGCACTCATCCCATCATTCTTGCCACTTTCTGAAGCAGTTCTGGACGTCCTCCTCTGTGAATGTCTTTACGAGGTGTGATAAAAAATCCAGCGAGTGCTACTGCTGAGCACCATCCAAAGGAAAGGCAGGCTGGTAACACCATCGCGGGGCGTCCTCAGCGGCTTCATTCACTAGATCGGGCACCGTGAGGCTTCTGGCTCTTCCTCAAAGTCATAATAAGGATCATGAAAGGTCAATGTTTTCAATCGATTCAGGACTCAAGGCAGCCACAACAGCCCAACTAAACACACCCAGAAGAGGACTTCCAGAAGTGCTTCAGCAAGTGGTAAGAAAAATGGGATAAGTGAGAAGTGAGAGTGATTAATGACAATATGTATTTCACTGTAATACGCGCTTTGTAAAATCTAAACATTCATTGTACGTTTCCATCACACTTCACATAACCCGGCAGGATTATAAATCGTGTATCAAAGGTTCCAGGCACCGGCTGTCCTTCTATGGACTGTTTCTCAAAATCACCGCTCACACCGGACTCACACCGGACTCCTTGTTATGCAACCGCCTCCACCGGCCCAGCTCCCTCAGCCAAGGCTGGGGCTGGGCAGGAGGAGGAGGAGGAGGAGGAGGCAGCTGGCTTCCGGCTCCCGCCCCTGTCCTGAGGGGCCTGTGAGCGCCGTCCTTACCTGCTCGTACTTCTCCAGCTCCGTGTGGTAGATCTGTCTGATCTGGGAGAGCTTCGCCCGGTAGTCCGAGTGCTCCACGGAGTTGTCCGAGCCGGCTCCTCCCGAGGCCGCCGCGGCCGCCGCCGCCGCCGCCGAGCCCCCGCCCTTCTCGGGCCCCGCCACGCCCTCCGCCAGCAGCATGTTGTCCAGGCGCATGAGCTGCGGGTCCGTGGGCTCCTCCTCCTGGGCGCCCCGGATGCTCAAAACTGGGGAACACAAAGAGCGAGGGCAGTGACCATGGGAACCCAAGAGAAACAAGTTTAAAAGTACAAAAACCAGGCATGCCACGTGGTTAAAACACCTCCCAGGTGACTGCGATATGGCCTTGAGGAGCCAAGGAAGGGCTGGGAGAGAACTGCGAAGGCGAGAAAACGCAAGCAGAGAGTAGTTTTGTTTCCGAGATTCACCGTGCTGCACCTATAGGAAGCACCTAAAATACCCGGATGTGTGGAGGCCGAAAGTCATATACCGGATACGGATACCAAGGCCGATGGGAGGCAGAGCAAGGGGTTAGGGTTTCATAGGTACAGAGTGGAGTTTCACTTCGGGAAGATGAACGAGTTCTTGAAGTGAATGGGGTAATGGTTACACAGTGATGTGAGTGCGCGTAGTGCCACCGAATGTACACTTAAAAGTAGTCACAGTGAAGCTGGGCATGGTGGCACTCCCTGTGATCCTAGGACCCTGGGAGGCTGAGACAGGAGGAGCGCGAGGTCAGGTCCAGCCTGGGCAATCGGACAACTTAGTAAGTCCCTGTCTCAAAATAAAAAGAACTGGAGATGTAGCTCAGTGTGGCTCTAGATTCAACCTTTGGTACTGAAAAAGAAAAAAAGGCAAAGTGATGCATGTTATAATTACGTATATTTTACCACAATAAGAATCTAAGGTGCAAAAAATTAATTATAATCCAATATTTTTTGCTTTGATCCTCAAACTACTGATTTCAATTCAAGAAAAACATTTACCTTTTCATGTTTAATTTTAGATTTCTACTGCGTCTGTGGTTTTACACTCCCTGACTTTCTTTGTAATATTTGATTAAATTATATTTTCATTTCAAAAATCATCTAAGCTAACCAGTGGAATGAAATTGTAAGATGTTTCCCCGGGACCAGGTGACTGCAGAGAAATCCAGCGCCTCAGGAAACTGGTGCGAGGACTGCCATCTCTCCACTCTAGGCAGTGAGGCCTCCGGTCTTGTGGGAAGCAAATCTTCAAGGGATCCGGAGAAGCCGGAGCTGTGGTAGCGGACAGGTGTGTTTGATCAGGATTCTCAGGCCAAGAAACGAAAGGGCCGTTTTTTATTAAAGCATCACAACTTTGGGAGGTGGGCGTGAGTTAAGCTGAAGATCAAGTGGTTCAGCAAATAAGCAGAAAAGTGAGAGGGTCGTTTTTTACTACCTGGATACCACCTGCCATAAAATAAATCACTCATCCAAACCTGGTTCCCTTGTCAGCAGCTAAGTCATTGTTGAAAGGGAACAAGAAGAGGATTTTCAATTAAAAAAAACAACAACTGAAGAGAGTTGTGGGCAGTACCGGTAAGAAAGGAGGAAAGGGTTTAAAGTCAGAGGCCACAGAGTGCCGGGCCCCAGTGAAGACAGGCATCAGCAGCTTGGAGTCTGGAGCTCTCCCCAGGTGGGTGCAGCTGGAGAGGCCCAAGGGGAAGGGGTCAACGCCTGCCATGTCCTAGGCGGAGCTGGGCAGCCCTGCCCGGTGCCAGGCTGTAACAGCGAAAGAAGTCTAGGTGCTCAGGGCGTTCGTTCTGTCACAGGCAATACCAGCATCAGTGCTGGCTGTGCCTCCTTGCGCCTGCCTTCCAACAGGCAGGACAGGCAGGAAATCCCAAGTCCTGCTCCAGAAAACATCTCAGGAAACACAGGGCAGCAGAGTGCAGTGTCCCACGTGGGGACCACCGGCCATGAGCAGAAAGGAGAAAAGGTACGGAGAGAGACCCCTGCTCTTTGATGAAGTGAGAAAGGATGGGAGGGAAGGAGGTGGCAAGGAGTGGCTAGGGGAGAGGGAGAACAAGGAGGAGGAGGAGGAGGAGGGGGAGGGGAGGGGCAAAGAAGAAAGAAAACCACCCCTGCACACAGACCACAAACACTTCAGTTCCCAGGAACCCTCTCCTTCACTTACAAACTGAAATTTTAATATTCTGCTTCATGCAAATAAAATTGCTACAGTGGCAATAGCATAAGGCTGTAAGATCACAGAGGTTTACTCTGTGGCTTTTTTTTCCACCAGGGAAATTTTCTTTGGTATGCTCAGGAAGCTGAATGGGCAAAGGCCCCTTCTGATCCCTGAATAATAAGGACTGAGCCATGTTCTTCCGTTTCTTGAATTTATTCATGCAAGTCTCCAAGGTCCTCTAAAGAACACACCACCACTAACCATCTTCTTAAGAAGGTATTGAATACTTTGACAGTTCCACCATTGAAGAGGGTGCTCTAAAGGAGGGTGTTAGCTTGGGAGGGGGAGAGGTTGGGTGTTTGCTGTTATGTAATGAATTTTAAATGCTTTAACAACAAAATTATCTATGGGTCATTCAGAAACGTTAAACAACAATTGCCTCTGAGCCATTAATAACAACATAGTTGTTTCACTCTAGCTTGATCATTTAGAAATGCAGGCTAGGGCAGCTTCTATGCTCTCAGTAGCCCTCTGAATTCCCTGTCCCACATACTCCCTTCAGAGGAAGTCACCAGCTCCAGCAGCGAATGGGAAAATTCCCTGCCACGGGCAGGTTTCAGCCAGGAAGCAGTGACTCCTCTTGTGTCCTCCTGGTTGTTCCATAAGCAACCACTGTTGTATGTAGCCCAACGCCATAGATCATACATACAACAATATCTGGTCTGAAGAGTACAGCAAGGTGCAGAAGGATCATGTGATGGCAGTGGTCAGGGCTGCCCAGGCACTGTCTGCTGAAGGTCATGCCAAGAATCCCACCCAGAGCATGGGTAGCAGTCTCCTGCCCTCTGCCAGCAGTCCTCTAGCAAACTCAGCTCTGGGAGAAGGAAGAAGGGCTGAGAGATGGGCATCCACGGGCCACAGTTCTTGCCCTGGTTTCCCCAAGTCCTAGTGGGCAACCTTGAGCATGGCACTGCTCCTAGTTCCCATCCGCCTGACAGTCACCCAAGAGTGCTCGCTCTTTCCAGCTTCCCTGTTTCCCCAAGCCCATGCTCCACTGCTTTCTAAACAATTATGCAGAAGAACAAACTATTTTGGAAAAACTCTCCACACCCACCTAATTGAGACTTTGCTAGGCCTTGAAACCTAAAATAAAATAAGGGAAGATCTTGCTAAGGCTGGCACAGGACACCAAGAGGTCATGGAGTGAGCACCAGGCCCCTGGAGAGTCTCAGAGGGTTCTGGACCTGCAGCACTGATGTGTACTGATTATCCTTTCCAGCTACGAATGATATATTGCGTTGGGATTTTTTGAGGGGGAAAGGGGACAATAACAATGGTAGCATTTTACTTAACTTTTCCATCATTTTAAAATCCTTTGAACAAATATGCCTTAAAAATTGGATTTACTATGATTTCATAGAATTTTTTGCCAAATATAGCAAATAAGAATTTGATGTGATAGAAATACATAAATAGGATCCCAAATCAGAGATCTGAAGAAGAAAAAAGAAAACACAAAGATGTAGAAAAACAAACAAAAACAGCCCAGATGCCCTCTCCAGTTTGCATTGTTTAAACTGTTTAAGTCACACTCAAATATCACTGAAAAAGAAAATGCCAGAATATGAGCAAGAACAAATATAAAGAAGGGAAAAACCTTAGAAGAAAACTTTCACTGTTCACTGACACAGAAGACTGAAGCCCCGGGGGACGTGGACTATGTGTGTTTGCAGAGGGCAGAGATAGTACAGTAAAGAGTACTGCTCACATTTCAATCCAGAACCGGGAGAATGTGAATGTACCACTGAAAACATCAGTGTTCTGATCCACGGGTAGGGAAACTGTTCAGCTAGTCAGTTAAAAAAACAAAACAAAACAAAACAAAAAACAACTTCCACCAACATTAAATAAATAAATGAAAAGGGTGATGTGCCTAAGCAGAACTGATGCTATCTATTTATTGCTTGAAGCCAGCACCCTGGCGAGCAGGAGACAAAATGATTATTTAAAAGCTCCTTTTTATCTCTGCGGCACCATGCAAGACTCAAATGAACCTTTCGCCAGGACACCAGAGATGTTAACACTCATTCTCTGAGATCCAATTTCAACCAGTGGAGCTGTTACCTAATCCAGCAACCATCACAAATGATCAGGTTCCTGCCTCCCTGACGGGCACCCGGCCCCTCCTCCTTGGACCAACAGCTTCCTCTGGAGCAGGTTTTAAAGGGCCCAGTGCCCGTTTATGCCAGTGGGGGAAGGCTTTTAGTGGCTCAGCGGGCCTGTACCCTTCCAGCACCACAAGCATGCCGTCGACTCCAGGAGACTGGAAATCAGTGGAGGAGATGCCCATGGAGACATGGAACCCATTTGGTAATAATTCTTAAAGAAGGCGTTTCCTTCCCATCATCTCACCCCTCCTTAAGGGACCAAGCCAGTGATTTATATAGAGATTTTCTCAAGCCCTTTCAAAGCTTCTGATGTCACATCCACCTTGCCGAGATTGCTTGCCTGGGGGTTAATTCTTTGGAAAAACTCCCAAGATAAGGGGACTGTCACAGCACTGTCGGGGCTTCTCTAACTACTGCTCTCCAGTGGTTCTTCTTTCTTTCTTTTGCTTCACACAAGGAGAGAAGCAAACCAAACCCAAAGGCACATTCAAAAGCCCAAGAGTATTGGCAGGAAGGCTGAGAGAAGGCCTGTTTTGTCCTCGGCAGAACACGGGTCCAGAGGAGCTCCCGCCAGTAGCCACTAGAGGGCACTCTTTCACCACCAAGGACTGGTTCAGCCCAAGGGTCTCGGTCTCCACCTCCTCTCGGTGTCCGGCTTAGTGCTGGGGAAATGGCCCTGCTCACTTTCAAACTTCTACAAGTTTCCAGAGAGGGTTGTTTTCGCATTTGGACAGCAGTCCGGGGATCCAAAGAGGCTCAGATAGACACTGAGAGGCTGGGACAAGCATGAGAAAGCTTCCCAGGTTATGTGGAGGAAGGCAGCCTTCCCCATGTGTTCAGACCCTAGGTCTGATCCCCAAACACGAGTCTCCACCCAAGGTGCTTGCCTACCCAGAGCTAAGTCT